GCCACTGCCCCAGAACAGAGCAGCTGCCGCCGCGCGGGCCCCTCTAAACCCGCCGCCTCGTGTCAGAGCCCCGAGCCCGGCGCAAGACGCGGGGGGCGGGCGCAGAGGGAGGGAGCCTCCTCGGGCGGCGCCCAGGCGCTGCAGGCCGCGCCGAGCGGAGGGGCCAAGCGGGGCCTGTGCGGAAGGGTCTCGGCCACGGTTACCTGCGCCAATGGGACCGGCGGGCATGTCGGGTGCAGAGACGCCGCTTCACCCTCAGCCTTCCGGCTCCATGATGCTCGCAAGAGATGAGGCGACAGAGTCGGAGCCTCGGTCTTTGATCGCACTTCCGGCAGCGCCAGGAAACTCACCGCAAGGGACCAGGCCTTGCCCGTACTGCGCATGCGTGCCCCGCCCCGCCCCGCTAAATTCCTTCCCTTTCACGTGCTCCCTCAGCCTGGATTGCGCCTGCGCCTGAGGCTTGGGCGTTTAATAAATCTCCGGAGTTAAAGAGTGCGCATGTGCGTTTTGTTTTGGCACTTACCTTCCCAGCCCCCGTTTTTTGGTTTTAATAGAGCTGTGTCTCAATTGAACGATCTGCTCGTAGGATGCAAAAAGTGTTCCTTCTCGCCTACACCATGCAGCCATAGAGTTGAAAATCCCCTGCTTGCTGCTGTGCGAGCCCAACACAAAGATTGCTCAGGCACGTTTTGAATTAATTGTGTGGTAAAAATATAGCATAATCTATACATCCTGCTTTTATAATTGCTTCTGCATATTATCACATTGCTTCTGCTAAGGCATGTAGGCCAATGACAGATTTACGAGTAGCACTAAACTTCTGCAGACAGAGCCAGGAACAGATGCAATAAATAACTCCTTACGAGAGATAAGAGAAGAGGGACAGGGAAAGATGCTGATGTAAAGAAATCAGACCCTAACCGAAGGATGACCGAGAGGGGCTTAAGGACTGCCCCAGGGAGGGGATTTAAGATGTAAATGAGACATGTATGTAAACCGTCATAGAACATGTAACTGCTAAACATATGATGCAAGACGTAATGTTTGGGCTGCCAATAATCACGCGACATGTTGAAATCTATTGTTTATGTTAGCTATAAAAAGGAACCTCAGACCCTGTTTGGGGTCAACTCTGATTTGAGCGACTAGCTTCCTTGTCGATCTGTTTGCAAACAATAAATTTGAAATTGGACCCAGCCTGTGTGTGAGACTCTCTCCTGGGGGTGGATTGGACAAGCCTCCAGGGGCACGAAACTAGCAGTTTGTGCAACAATTGTTTAACTGAAAAAATAGAGGTGAATTTGCTTAATAGTCCTATGGACCTGTATGGGTCTACGGCAGGGGTAGGCAACGGTTTTGGCTGGATTACCAAAAAAGCCACAAAGTCTACCTTGTAAGGTGCTGGCATGCCACAAAAAGAAAACGGGGGCAGAGGGTACATAGCAAGGTGCACTGCATAAATGTTGCTTTTTATGGTAAATACCGGGTTTTCTAAAAATGCTGAACCTGATGACAATAAATCAAACTTCATATACTGCCTTTGTTGGTGCGTATTCTTTTTTTGTTAAGCATGTTGTGATGGGGCGGGGGGGGCGGGAAGAGAAAGGAGAAAGAAGGAAAGAAAGAAAAAAGATAAAAGGTGTTAGAAAATTAATGTGACCTCTGTATGACCTTTGATCAATGCTGGCTGATGCAACCTTGCACTAAGATTGCCACTGGTCTGTCAATCTAGGCGGACAAGCAAGGTGATTGGGCCCAACTATGTGGGGTGAACAAAGTCATGCCATCTTAGTAATTTTCCGCTGAGTTTTGCGCATGCGTTATGGGAAAGGCTTATGTAACCAAAGTTTATAAATATGTGTGTTGAGTTGCAGTCGGGGTCTCTCTGCCCTTACGAGGACAGGGGACCTTCGGCCGAATAAACTGAAAAGACCACACCCTCGTCTCCGGCTTATTGGAGTCTCAGCTGGGATACGAGCCCCGTTCGGGTCAGGAGAGTCCACAGGTGTTCCCTTACCAGATTGGGAGCCTGAACGGACAATTTCTCTCACAATTTTGGCGAGCCAGCCCGGAGCAGCCAGCTCGTCGCGTCGCTGCTGCCGCCTAAACCCAACCTCCGGCCGGCCATAACAGAGGTGAGTTCACCATGGGAGTCTTGGGTTGAGGCTGCAGACACGGCGGGACAATAAGGTGACTCCTTCAATTTTACTGGCATGGTGTGGTCTTTTATATGTTGTGTATGTCTTGTCTAATGTGTTATAGGCCAGTCTGTTCTCCGGTTCCTCAAACCTGGGCACACAGGCAATTT